CCAGGACTTCGGCAGCCTGTCCAACCTGCAGGTGACGCAGCCCACGGTGGGGATGAACTTCAAAACGCCCCGAGGAGCGCTCTGAGTCGATCGCTGTATGTCACTTTTCCAATAAACGTGGGGAAACCATCTCAGCCTGCCTGGTCTTTGGAAGCCTGCGTCCCCAGGGATGGGGAGGGAGGGCTGGTTCCTCAGGGTGCCATGTCCCAAATACAGGTGTTGGAGGCTTCAGAGGGTGAGGAGGACTCAACACCTTCGCGTTCGCTGGCTTCTTTTTGGGTTCTTCCCTGGCTGTTTGGGTTGTGCGGTGCAAAGCTGTTATTTTACAGGCTGTCCTGTGGTACGCAGCCAGGAGAGGACAACCGTGGTGGCTCCTCAGAGCTTGCCGGAGCTCCTCGCCCTCGGCGCCTCCCAGATTTGCCTGTGCCTCCTCCAAGTGGGTAACTCTTGGGGGTCACACTGTGCCAGAATAAAAGCTGCTTTTTATAACCGCGTTGGTCACTTTTAAGTGCTTGAATGAAAGGAAAGTCTTGTTGGTTTTCTTTCTATGAGGGGAGTGAACTGGGCAGAGCAGAGCGCCCTGTCTGGGGGTGGAGACGGGCCCTGGGTGAGGTTTGTGCTGTGCTTCCCCCAGCGAGATGTTCCATCCAACCCAATGCTTCCCCAGGGGGCAGCAGAGATGTGGAGAGTTCTGGGGCTCACCCTGCCCCCCAAGACTGTCCTGCTATGCAGATGCTCTCCTTGGAGGCAGAGGAGACCTACAGGTCTCAGCCTTTGCTGTTGGCATCGTCCAACACAGTGACCTGCGGGCAGGGTGCCCTTGGCAAGGGCAGGCAACGCTCCTGGGCACCCCGGCCGGGCGAGCGTCCCTGGGTTTTCCTTCTCTGCTTGCGTGACCGGCTCCAGCACGACGTGGGTTTTGCTTAGGGGAGGTCTGGAGCCCTGCGCTCAAAACCTCTGCAAACCCATGGAGCTCCCCGCGTGCCCAGGAGATCCTGGGCCAGCCCCGCGAGAGCGCTGGGTCCCACCGGTGAGCGTGTACCACGGGCGGGTGCAGCTGTGCCGTGGGGTGACTTCTCCCCTCTCCCTGCAGGGAGACCTCAGTGTGTCCCTCCAAGGAAAACGGCTGTTCGCAGCCACATCTTGAATCTCCCAATACAAATAAAAAGACAAAGGATGTGTGTTTTGGGGAGAAATGTCTGTATTTAAGTTTGCTGTGGAATTTGTGTTAAATTTAAAGAAGAAAACGTTTACAGTAAATGTAGCCAGGCATTTAAATATACATTGAACACGCTGAGCTGCAGTCAGGATAAGCCAAACAGGGATAAGTATAAATCCTCTAAGTACTACAGAGATTTAACTCAGAATTTGCAGCTCAATACCAGCAAACTCTTCATTATTTAACTAAAACACAGAGGGAACACAGACTGACGGGTAAAATAACCATCGATCTGCAGAAGAGAGCGAGCAAGGAGGCATCCCAGCATCTAACTACAGGATTGGATTTCCAAACACGACCGATCGCTCTCTGGCAGTGAAGTTTTTGATGCAAACAGCCACCTGTTACTTACAATTTTCTCTTCATTTTAGTCTTCACGTCAGAGTAAATGTTAATTTCGTTCTGAATCCAATACGCCACGTAGCCCGAGGTGCCGGGGATGAAATCGCGGAGCTCTCCGACATATTTCTTCATGTCGTGAGCAGAGGTGTAGCCTACAAAGGGAAAGCGTGGGTCTCACCGGGGGAGCTGCCCTCCGACGAAACAAGGACGATGGAAAATGCAAAGCACGGAGGAGAAGGAAGCAATTCCAGTCGCACCCTCAGCGTTTCCGCTGCTATAAGTACTGGGAGGAAGCAAGGAACACGTGGGGAGTCCCTGCTTCATCCGCAGTCATTTCCAGGCATATTTTCCACTCCTTAAAACTCTACCAATGCCAAACGTTACCTGTCACCATGTTATTCATCGGGTATTCCTGGAGGGCACGGTATGGAAATTCCCCCTGGGCGGATGCTCTGGAGCCTGTTTCTTCTTCGCTGCTGTATCGGGGGGAAAAAAATGTGCGTTAGTTCCTATGCGTTGGGGATCTCTTGAAATTTGGGGGGGCGCATAAATCCTACCACCGAGGGCAGGAAAATACCTGTTGGCCAGGTCTAGCGCATCCTCCTCCGCTTCTTCCTCACAGCCTTTTCTCGCTGCCTCCGGTTCGTCCGTCAAATTTTCATTGGGCTGCAAGTATCAACACGGAGTTGAGTTAAGATTGTGTCCTGGGCACCCCGCAAAACACTAGAGACGTGGTCCAAGAGAGCGGTATTTTTAGGACTTGTGATTTCAAGCATAATTTAGAATACAATTTTAAATCTAATCACATTTTCGCTTTAAAAGTATTGAGAAGTTGCTTTGAGAAGAAAGCGGGCAGTGTCTTGGAGCTACACGGGGAAGGAAAATGCCGCACAAAAGGGCTGAGCTCAGACCTCAGTGATTGGAGGATGTGCCGGGGAGACTGGACACAGGCAGGGAGGGAGAAAGTCCCTCCTGTGCATCCCAAGCTCAATCCAGTGCTGTCCCCCCCGGGATGTCACGCTGGGAGTGACACACACGGCGCAGGAAGCACAAGAAGATTTGATCCCGTATTTGGGCTGAGGGTCTGGGATAAAAAACAGGCTCCCTGAAGTTCATATAACTGATATTTTTTTAAGCTACAGCTCCTGTAGTATAAATTTCTCATCTTACCTGTTCTGCAAGTGAATCATCTGCCTGCTCCCAAATAAAACTACCAATTTTCCTTCTGATCTCTGCCGTGAACAAAAAAATAAGTGACTGTGAGAGCATCAAATAACGAGACTGTGCGGCAGTCGCTGCCTGTGCAAGCCCCTGCCTCTCGCAGGTGCTAGCGAAGGCACTCGGGAGCCCTGGCAGGAGCTCACTGCGTGGCGCTGCTCGCTAATGCAATATAACGGCTCGATGTCCGAGTGGAGACCAGTGCCGAGTGGTGTCCCTCAGGGGTCTGGACCGGGATTCTTTAACATCTTTGTCGGGGACATGGGCAGTGGGATTGAGCGCACCCTCAGCAAGTTTGTGGATGACACCAAGCTGAGTGGTGCGGTTGATACTCTAGAGGGACGGGATGCCATCCAGAGGGACCTTGACAGGCTAGAGAGGTGGGCCCGTGTGAACCTCATGAAGTTCAACAAGGCCAAGTGCAAGGTCCTGCACCTGGGTCGGGGCAATCCCAAACATGGATACAGGCTAGGCCATGACTGGATTGAGAGCAGCCCTGCGGAGAAGGACTTGGGGGTTTTGGAGGATGGAAAACTGAATACGAGCCGGCAATGTGCGCTTGCAGCCCAGAAAGCCAATCG